CAGATAATGTCATTCGATGGAAGTTACATGAAAATGTATCTTGTGGTAGAGGCATCATTATTGTTCTAAAATAACGCGACTGTGAAAATCAAGTTGCTGTAAGTGTTTCATTCAAGCATTGACCTCATCTATCATGTCACGACACTCCAACAGTATCAAAAAATAAATTAACGTCTTGTCTTTTAGCTGAAGGGACTGGCTGGTGCCCAAGCCTCGACGCAAGCCGATGAGGCGCTCAAAGCTGTTGGCCTCGAAGACAAACGACACGCGCTCACGCGCGGCCTTTCGGGTGGCATGCAGAGGAGGCTGAGCATCGCCATCGCCATCGCTTCCAATCCGCAGGCACGTTCCCGTATCTTCAAATTATGGCGTCTGGAACGCGTCTCTCCGACTGGTGCGTTTAACGCTTCCAAAGCAAGTGGTCCCTCGAGTTCCGCCTGAGAAGTGTCGTGCTGTCGATGGCCGTGGCTGTGTCACAGCGGCGGTTGTAGATGTGACAGACGCCTGTTCTGCTGAAGGTCGCAGCAGAACATGCTCCAGCTTGGCAGTTGGCGGAAGCCTCGGCAGAGTTGGGACGTCGTGACGACCGCGGCACTCGCGTTTGCTCGCGCTTTTTTTTACCGGAACTTCTGCAGGCAACCACCAGGATCGTAACATCCGACAGCATGACACTCCGGTTTTCGTGACGACATTGGTTGCCACTTCGGGACCACTTGTAGGACGCTAAACACACCAGTCGGAGATATCGCAACTCCAATTCAATATAGGTGGCGCCCCTCGTTTTGCAAAATGGCGGTTATAGTGAGGGTCGGAGACGCGTGTCGGTATACCTGTTACTGAGCCTGTCTAGTGTGCTGACTTCACTGAGCGACACATATTATTCCTGCTCATACGAGGAAGCTAGGCTGTTATGAGCGCAGGTCACTCCTTTCTTCTGAAAACAAAAACGGTGTTTTGCGTGATATTTGCACGAGGAGGAACGTTTTAATTCTGGAACAAAACCGAAACTAACCTCTCTTTTAGATGTAATTTCTCGATAAAAGTGCTAAACTTGGATTCTTTCATAACTCAAAATGTGTCTCATAACGTAATCATTCAGCTACAAAAGCTGTTCGCGGAAACTTTTTGTGACATGCATGTCTGAATCAGGAACTTGAAATTATTTTGGGGAGTTCTGTGTCCCTTTAAATGACAGGGTCTTTCATCCACCTAAGGGATGACATATAGAACATCGGATTTGTTGAAAAAATCTTGGCTGATATATCTGTATTCCTGCTGCCTTTTCTCACTCATATAATTTTTACCTGAAGTAATGAACTGCGGGCCTTTTAATGGGTTTTCGGATACTTAGATGCTTAATTGCTTTCACATTATTCCCAGCAGAGAATAACAGTCAATCCAAATTTTACAAAATACCGCCATGGGTGATGAATATGCAATTTGTTCACAAAACGTATTAAGAAACGCTGTTCTCACCATAAAAACCCAAAAGCGGAATCCGAATCAGACACAAGAAATGTGTGTATTTCTTAAAGCAACGCGTGACGCACAGGACTTTACATATTACATTCAGTGTTTGACTGCTTATCTATCTTGATAACGATGTCAGAGTTTTTCATATGGTAAAAAGAAAACAAAATGGGATCTTTCTGGATACGTTATTATGGTTAAATGGCATATTTTTGGTAATCGTGGCGTTTATTGGGGGCCTACATTGCCGCAATTTGTATAACTAATAATTATACAATTAAAATATTTTAACAAGTAATTTTCAAGCTCTAATGTAAATGGTTGCTTATCATTTAATTTGACACGCAGGAACAAGTATGGCAATCAAAAATGTGCAAATTATCACTGGTTACAATTGCAAAATTTTTAGTTAAGAAGTTATAAAATAAAAATGGTATAAAATAAATGAAAACATTCTAGCTAATTTCAGAAATATATGTAAAATTACATTAATTGTGGGCAAAGCATGGGATACTATCAAAGTCACAACTTTTGGCAATCGGCAAAACTTCCAAAGTTCCCGTCCAAACCAAATTCACCCCCCCCCCCCTTTCTCAAAAAGAAAAAAAAAAACGAATTTTTTGTTTTGTTTTATTACCAGTATTTCCAGAATATTTAGACTCTTTAATTTTTACGCGCCGTCCTTTTGCCAATCTCAGGCTTTCTGTTTCGAAGCAACGCTTACCCGCTCGCACGTCTGCTCACCGCACCACGTTTCGTTGGCGTTGGAAACCGGTGAACCAGCAATGAGTTTTAGTATTGCGTATACGAGCGAACGCAAGCACTGTCTGTTTGCTTTAGCGTTGCGTGTTCCGCACCGTGCGTGCGTGGGAACGAAAATTGCGGTCTTGGATGGGAACATGGCGACGACGCGCATGCGCAGCTTAGAGGATGGAACTTTAATACAAACGCACAACGCTTGCGTTTTCTTTTATACACAATACTAAACCTCTCTTATAAGGTGCAATCCCATACTGGCTGCAGCACCACGTTGGGACAATGAAGAGTGCTGTTTGCATTCGGAAATGACATTTCGCCAGCCATGATCGCTAGCAGTGCCACCGTGCCCGCTGAGCAGGAGACCCGGTGACCCTCACTAGAGCGTTTTCCGTTTCCGCCGCGGGAGGGCGAGCAATAAGCTGGAGGCGCGAATAGGCACCTTTATACAATTTTTTTTTCTAACTTAACAGATTTTTTTCTAAGAAAAGAAAAAAGCTACATCTATGCCGTTTGTTTAGGTGAGTTAAATGGCCAGGGGATATAGTATATGAGGCTAATCATAACGATCAGTCGGCTAATTAACAAAAAAGTTGTTAATAACTTTTTAATTGGTGAAAATAGACGTACGGTTCCAATTAGAAACTAGCTGAGCGTTATCGAAAACCACCAAATCAGTCATTTTCAGAACGACTTTCAGCGCGTGAGGAGCGTAGTACTGCACTAAAGTTACCACTCATGGAGCAGGTGCAAGGCTAACGGTTGCGGTAAGGCGCCCGCGCGATTTTTCCTTCTCTTATCTGGCCCCAGCCTTGTACTTGCTCCACAAGTGGTAACTTTAGCGCACTATTGCGCTTCTCACGCGGTCAAGATCTTTCTAGACATTAAGGATTGAGAGGTTTTGGGCGACGCTCAGCAAATTTCTAATTGGAACCATAAGACTCTTTTCACCAATTAAAAGTTAATTACAATTTTCAATTTATTAGCCGACGGATCGTTATGATTGGTTTCGTATACTATGTCACCTTCGCCGTATAACTCACCTGAACAAACCGCATAAGTGTAGCTTTCACAACTTTTTTTAAACAAATTTTCTCAATAAAAAAATAAATAAAAAAACGGTATAATAGCGGCTTTTTACGCGACCATAGGTGGTCATCTTGGACGAACCGTCTGCGGGCCTGGACGCCGAGAACAAGCGCGGAATTTGGGACTTGCTACTGGGCATGCGCAGCAAGAGCACGCTCATTATCTCCACTCACGACATGGAGGAGGCCGACATCCTGGCGGATCGGATCATCGTGATGGCCGATGGCAGGGCCCTGTGCGGCGGTTCGCCTGCTTTCCTCAAGAAGGCCTATGGTGCGGATCGTTTCACCGGTAGCTTATGAAATGCACGGCGAGTTCCAAGTACCTCGCTTCTCAGGCAATGATATTGCAGTATCAGTCGAGAAGAACGCCGTAGAGCCAATCACGGTTTCAGAAGCGTGAACGTAGTAAGCCAGGCTCTCGTTTCTTTAGCTGTCCGTGAATATACGGGTAGAAACTGCGGGAGAGGAGGATGCGAGAGCGCGGGAAGCCAGAGCACCGAGCTCTGGTTGGAAGGATTAGTGGGTAAACCTAAAGCTATAGTTGCACTTGTCTTTACTGGCTCTTCGACCGCCGAACGCCGGCGTCAGGCGTTCGGCGTTCGCCTCCTCCACTCCCTCAGCTTCTACACGCATTTCTACTCCGTCTCACTAAAACCGTGCAGTACAGTCAAAGCTAAGGGGGGGGGGGGGGGAGATTGTATCCCGACCTGTTCAAGAGGAGTGAAAGGAGGAACGGGGGAATCCTAGCCCTTCTCTCCCGTTCCTCCTTTCCCTCCTATTGAACAGGTTGGCATACGCTCTCTCCCCTGTAGCTTTGGCTGTACCGCGCGGTTTTAGTAAGACGGAGAATAGTTGTTCAGTACTCCCGAGTGTAAGTGTCTATATCCTATTCAAGCTCGATGAAAGCTGCATTCGTTGGACCGCTCACGCGTCAATCTCTCGCCAGCTGATCACCGTCCCGCTCATACCCACACGCACAGAGAGCGGGGTTAAATAACGAAAGACTGCAGGCAATTGACTGCCCCGGGAAGCGCGCACCAGCCACCGCCCTGCAGTCTGCTTATCTGCTTATCGATAAACGGAATATGCATATTTCGTTTATCGATAAGCAAACTGCAGGGCGGTGGCTGGTGCGCGCTCCCCGAGCCAATGTTTCTGTCATATACATGTATATGACAAATTTACATGTATATTTAAGTTGTGATATACATGTATATGACAACTTAAATAGAAAACAAAGACAGAGCGTCGAAACTGTGACTTCTTTTTTTCTCGCTCGGTTTCTCTTGGGTATTGTCCCAGTGGGCCATCGGAACTGGTCAAGCCCATAATTATTAAGCTTTCGGTAGCTATACAATGGTATAAACAGTAATGCAGAATAGGGAGTATAATAATCGAGGAGTGCAGTAGCCCATAGACGCTTCCAGGCAGCTGTGTATGGGCGCCGCCATAAGGTACCTTCAGTTTTTGTTTCCTCTTATTCCGTTCGCCTCACTTTTTCATTGCCGCAGCAGGGCAGGTGATTGCCTCTTTAGGTGCTAATGCGTCATTCTCCCCAGCATAGGCCTTAGTGGAGGCTCGTCAACGCCCGCCTCAGTGGCTTGACATCTCGATAAGACGACAGAAGGTCGGCAATGGCGGCTCACCATATACACAGTTTCACTTGAAGTCCTGCCGCAGTCGCCACTATGATCTCATGGAGCCAATGAAGCATCTCTAAAACTGCATATTCACGGCAGTCATCACTTCGGCTCCAATTGGAAGGATAGCGGGAAGAGTTCACGGCTCCATGTCTCGAGGTGAACCCACAATCCTTCCAATCTAGCCAATCGGAGCCCGGCGTCCTGACGTCACCGCAACCCCTGCGCAAGGAGCGGACGAACTTGCGCTCCGCATAGCATCGGCTGCGGTCGGACTCGCGGCGAAACGAAGTATGGACAGTTTCCTCCAAAAGCAATACATACGGGGCTCTTCCGCTTTGGACATTGTCCCTTTTCCAGGAATTCGTGTACTTTCGTTTCATCCCCTGCCAAGGTCTGTTCATCGTCTAATGTAAATTCGCCGTTTAACGGCAGGCGTGGGCTATCAATTGCGCATCATCAAGGACCCCGAGGGACTCGACCTGTCCCAAGTCCTACGGACGGTACGGAAAGCGGCTCCCAAAGCGGAAGCAGAGGACAAGATGAAGGAGGCCATCGTCTCGCTCAACACGCTCAGTCACGCGGGATTCGTCCGCATGTTCAAAGAGCTGGAGGAACGCGGGACCGAGCTTGGCATCCAGGCCATCGGCGTAATGGTTGCCACCCTCAGGGACGTCTACATCAAGTAAGAAACTTGGCGTTCAAGTTGTTCTAGACTCCGCTTCGGTCGGCCTGTATACCTAAAACAGCGTGCAACTACTTTCTTTTTTTACGACCTAAAGGCAGATTGCTGAGATGAGTTAACGTATAGCACTCGTCTTCGGGATCGGTGGCCGAGTGGGCTAGCGTACACCAGCTCGGAGGACGTGGAAAGAAAGCTCGCGCTGCAGAAGCCAGGTATCCGGGGTTCAATCCCACCCCTGCCCCCGTTTCGATCTGGATGAGCGTCGTGGCGTGCGGTCGTGTATCACTACTGTGTGGTGCGCGTTAAAGACCCCAGGCTAGTGGTTGTACTGCACTGGCTAAATTGGGTGATTTCAGATAAGATCGACCAAAGGATGGCTAGTCGACATTTTCAAATCAACTGATGTTTTTATATGTTATTGTCTAGTGTCTGGTATGAACGAATCCAAACTTAGTTTTGACTAGAAAAAATACTAGGGGACAGGAAAAATCGTAAGGCATCAGGTGGTGGACACTTGCATTAACGCGCACTGATGGAGGGGGCCCGTTTGAGAGTGAATAACTAAAGCGATAACATTAGGAGAACTCTAATACGTTTTAGGCGCAAACTATGGGTATAGCTTGCTTGTAATATAAAGTAATCATATTTATTTAAAATGTATTTATTTTTCTAAAATTGACAAACATGCCTGCTCGAACGACAAATGGCAAACTTTGGAGGTCTGTATCTCATGAAATAATTTATTCATTATGATATAATTTGCAGATATTATTCTAATAATATATAGCTAATATTTAAAAAATAACTAAGGTATCTGTGTGATACAATAGTTAGGATATATTTAGTCAAACATGAAAAAAAAATCAAACAAAGAAAAATTCCGATGCGAATAAAAAAAAACACCACCCTCGATTTTTTTTTAAATTTAGGTAACCTGTTATACTCTATTTCGGCATTCATTTCCATTAAAAACATGTTGCATCATTTTATTGAGAAAGAAGATACAACTCCCCAAAGTAGGGTCCTTTTTCAAAGCCTACACTTAGCAGTGTTTTATACAAGAACTGACTCTGAGTTCCAGTTTCATGAAACCAACACACATATTTTATATATTTTTATTCAGATGAGGCCAATGATACCTAAAGAAATCGTTCACCCACTTAAATTAAGGAGAAACTACTGTGTACAAAGAGGCATCATATTACGGACTAGTGATCCGAGAAAAGATCATGCAGCCATCGGCCACTAGGAACTTTGTTTACTTTATTCTCCTGCGACACTATATGCTATTCCCTCTCCCGCTCTACCTTCATCTCTCTCTCTCTCTCATATATATCCCTGATATATATCCAGAACAAAAACATGTTCAAGCATTCCCTTTCTGCGTGGTAGTGTTCTGTGGCTAGCAAAAATCATTTCCTCGCTAAGCTCACGATTATGGCAAAATAGTTGCCGGAAACCGCAGACGAAACTCGTCGCTAGTTCTGGCAAAACGGCCGATACAATCTTTTTTTCGCATTTCCCCGCTCGCTGTCAAGGACAAGGGGGTTCGCTTCAACCAGCAAAACATGGCCGCCGACGCCTGTTTACTGAGCAGTCATGCCTGTCGCCATCTCACTCGCTGGCGTCACGGGCGATAATATCAGGCACAAAGGGGCACACCAACCGGCAGCATTATCCCCAAATACTCGAGCCTCGCGTAAATACATAGAGTGTAAACGCTGTCGCCATGCTATCGTAGTAAGACCGCCCCCCCCCCCCCCTCCCCCAACGGGGGACTGCAGTACGCGACGGCGTACTAACACAACGGCGACGATATCGACATCGCAGGCTCCGAATTTTCCCATAGTTCTACTCCACGGGCATTTCTTGAAACGCTTGATATTGTGTACGCCCGCCTGGAAGGATTTCAGGCGCGTAGTTAAGATAAGGCGGTTCTCCGCGGCAAAAGAAAGCAATTTCACAAAAGCTTAAAAGCGGCGGCGACGCGTGTGCGGTGAACGCTTGTAGTTTTGGTGTAGACAGGGTGTGTGTGTTCTCGTTGTTGACACCAGCCGGCGATAAGGCACTGCAGGCGGTAGCTCAGTACAGCAAGGGCTAATCCGAGTGACCATCAACGTAACCCCACCGCCAACCCCTCGCGAACCGGTCGCCGACATGGCTCAGGCTGTGTCATGAACCACGTGGTAGAAGCTCGGGTGCTTTCATATCAGCGCGTGGAGGGACGACAGTGCGATTCCGGAAAGTCTTTCCCTCTTTCTTCCTTTGACGTGGATCAAGCTTTGCCGACAGCCTCAGTTGTGACCTCTCTTTTCAAATGTACGTTTGCAGTGAGTGAGCTCCTCAGCCTCGGACTTGTCACTTGTGCACCCAGTAGTTCTTTCACTTGGCAATTATATGCCATCAGTTGGGGTTTAATTTCTGTTATTTATGTATACATTATGAAGACGTCCTGGAGCTCCGAACGAGTGTTTTGTGCAGATTACTTTTGCAAACACAAAAAGACTATACCAAAGCAGCGGAATTTTCGAAGTGTTGGCGAGTTGGACCTAAACTCGTTGAAGCAAATTCTTCCGCCCGACTGTTCCACCAAAGTGAGTGCGACGGACTACCTGTGCTACCATTGCTTCATGCACATCACTAAGGAGATCTCGATGCGAAGCTCAGAGCAGTACCCTGACATATTTGTGCCAGCTGAAGAAGCAATTGAAGATCTAAATCGCAGCATACTACCTACAGATGTGTCGCCGCTGAGACAACCAAGCGTCGTAAGAAGTCGGGACAGGCCTGCCTATGTCAAGAGAAAGCAGACAGAACTGGAGCAGGTTGCTGTCAAGAATATACGCTCAAGGCTACGTATTGCGTACGACAGGGACGCACCATCGGGGTCGTCCGAACCAACATGCTCCACATGCACTGAGTGGGTGGACAACTTTCGGCAGGCCTTTGAAACCGCCACCTCTCTCCGGGAACGTTGTCAACTGCTTACACTCCTGCCGTCAACACTGACGAAGAATGAGGTTCAAAAGATGATTCCACAGGCCTCAATGTACCTCATCAGTAAATCCCGAAAACTCAAGGAAAAGCATGGCGTGTGGTATGAGCCGGATCCTTACACGAGGTGCAAGGTGAGCCCTGAGAACCTGTCTGCTGCCCTAGAGTACTTCACGAAAGACGAGCTACAATGTTCGCGCCAAAGTCCCAACCAGAAGGACGTCATCTCTGTCATGCTCAACGGAGAGAAAACGTTCGTGCCAAAGCGCTTCATGACACGCTCAATACGAGAGGCCTTCCGTATATACAAAGACAAGCATACCGATTCCGGCGTTGGGCTAACGAAATTTTATTCGTTGCGCCCTAGATGGGTCCAATGTATTCCACACCAGGAAGTGTGCGTTTGTGTGCGCTGCGCCAATTATTATCTTTGTATTGCCGCTCTAGAGAACGTTACAAGCTCAACATTCAACACTGGTGAAATGAACTTGGCATTTCTGTGCCACCCAGCAACAGAACTGTGCCTTCAAGGAGACTGTGATCACTGCCCAAAAGGCCAGTTTCTTACACTCCAGGAACTTGATATCCCGGAGGATGAAGAGATTGTGCTTGCAACATGGGAGTCCGGCGACCTTGTGAAAAAAACTTTGGAACCTGAGACTGTCCTAAAAGTCATCCAAGTGACGGTTGGAAGTTGGGTACTTCACAACCATATCCGGCAAACGCAAGGTAAAGCGATCTACGATGAAAAACAGTGCATGCAACGCGGGAGCATTGTCTTTCATTTTGACTTTGCTGAAAACTGGACCATCGTGCTTCCTGACGAAGTGCAAGCATATCACTGGAAAAAAACAACAAGTTTCGATATTTACATGTGTATTGACGACAAGAAAATCTACAAACAGCTTTGCCATCATCAGTGAGGACCTGTGTCACGACGCCGCTCACGCTTGCTTGGCTCTAGAAAAAGTGAAGGAGTGGGTTGAAGACAACGTTGCGGTATACTCGTACGTGACGTACGTAAGTGACGGCGCCGCCAGTCATTTCAAGAATCGCTACCAGCTTCACCAATTTGCAAAGGACGATTGCCCACAAGCCCAGTGGTTATTTTCTGCATCTGGACATGGGAAAAATGCATGTGACGGAGTTGGCGGACTCGTGAAGCACCAGGCCACGCTGAACAACCTGAGAGAACGTTCAGTAAGCGCAATTCAGACGGCCAGGACAATGGTGAGCGTTCTATCAAAGAAACTGAAAGGCGTGCATCTTGTATATATGGACGAAAATGAGGTTGTTCGGTATCGTGAACAAAAAAAAAGAAGAGTGGCTGACGGTGCGCGCCTTCCCTGGCATTCAGTCTTGGCACGCGTGGCGGCTCAGCAAGTCATCAACAGAAGGGACCTGTGACGTATATGTAGCACGGACAGTCGGATCTGCTTGGAAGCAACTTTATTAAATGGGTACAGCGAGGAAAACCTTAGCGTAAAGTGCCGAATTTGATTTCCCAAGGACTGCTCATTTTGAATGCAGGGACATCTTATTTATCACATTTTTCTTCACGGGGTATTTAACCTACTGTTTTTGTTGGTGGTTACTAATAATTTTTATCTGATCACTATAAAAAAAATCCCAAAATGTTATCCTCGAGCAGGATAAAATATATCGGCTTGCCACGATTCATTCATACACCGAGAGCATCGAAGCTGCTCCAGTTAGGCACTATGGCATCCGTCACCTGAAATTGTTTGTAATCGTAAATACACAGCCAACTTAAATATCTTACTATTATATCTTTGTTTTTGTGTGTGGAATTAAAGTTATTTATTTTACTCTAGATGTAAAATATACCGGAAGGTACAACTTCACACTGCATCATCTTTTCTCAAATCATTAGTCTCTAATATGATACCACTTTGTACGCTTATGTAAAATGCTGTATATAGTTTCTCCTCCCTTTTACTGTGTGACCGATCGCTCTTTTTATCAATGACCTCATCTGAATAAATGTATATAAAAGATTTGTGCAAGTTTCATGAAACTGGAACTCAGAGTCACTTCTTGTATAGGACACTGCTAAGTGTAGGCTTTGAAAAAGGACCCTACTTTGGGGAGTTGTTTCTTCTTTCACAGTGCAATGATGCAACATGTTTTTAATAGAAATGAATGCCGAAATAGAGTATAACAGGGTACCCAAATTTTTAAAAAATCGAAGGTGGTGTTTTTTTTTATTCGCATTGGAATTTTTCTTTGTTTGATTTTTTCCCCATGTTTGCCTAAATATATTGTAACTATTGTGTCACTCAGATACCATATTTATTTTTTCAATAATAGCCATATATTAGTAAAATAATGTCTGCAAGTTATGTAATAATGATTAAATTATTTCATGAGATACAGATTTCCAAAGTTTGCCATTTGTCGTTCGAGCAGGCATGTTTGGCAATTTTTAGAAAACTAAATAAATTTTATATAAATATTATTACTTTATATTACAAGCAAATTGTACCCATAGTTTGTTTGTAAAACGTTTTAAAATTCTCCTAATTTTATTGTTTTAATTATTCACTTTCAAACTTACCCCCTCCATCAGTGCGCGTTATTGCAACTGTCCACCTCTCCCTGCCTTACGATTTTTCTTGTCTCCAAATTTTTTTTCTGGTCAAAACTAAGTGTGGATTCGTTTCTACGAGACACTAGACAATGTCATATAAAAACATCAGTTGATTTAAAAATGTCGACCAGCCACCCTTTGGTCGATCTTATCTGAAATCACTCAATTGCTAAATCTACAGCGAGTGACTTGTCGTGACTTTGAAATGGCTGACCGACTGCACGCTCTATAAATATCCACACAACACCAATTAATATTTCGTCAACCTTGATTAGAAAAACTAAAAACTCGAACTTCGAAGATTGTGAAATATCAGCAGATTATCAGGCCAGACGTAATGATACAAAATAAGGTTCAGGTGCGATAAAAGCGGTGACTGTCAGCCCACTGTGCATACGCAGAACGTACATTTGGAAAATGTCTAAATGATTTGTCTCATTCATATATAAAATAGAAAGAATTGTACCTTCTTTGCGTCACGGCATTGCTCACAAAAAATAATATATATAGCATATATTATAGATTTTCCAGTTGATGGAAATGAGCCACCAAAAAATTTGGCGTTTTTTTGTTTTTTGTTAGAGATGTAATTATCTACACCAAAGGTAGGATTGAGACTTCCGTGATGTGTCGTTCTTCGTTCCCTCTGGTATCTGGATTTTAGTCCATTAAGTATTAAGTCGGATTGACTCAACGTAACCCCCCCCCCCCCCCCCCCCCCAATACGTATCCAGATTCTTTACCCGATCACTAACCTAATATTTGCAGTCACAAAAGGTGATATAAATCCACACCTGGCTTAGGACTTCACAAAGACCTAACCAATGGACCAAACGAGTGAAGAAGATAAATCTACGAGCTTTAAGACGGGCATGTGGCAAGTGTTTGGCACTGACAGAGGGCTGACATTCCTCGACGTCATGCAATGTTGTCTAACGGATCGAGCGTTACAATCTGTATTTTAATATGTTTGGGGAAACCATATAAAACGAATAGTTATAACTGGAAAGAGGAAGGATATTTCTTGATAGTGAAGTCTATTTTTGTAGGATAAACCTTGGATGGGTTCCAGATGGCGTAAACCCGAGGGCAGACTACACGCCTGACGGTAAGTACCGAAGTTGTTCCTCGTTAAAGAAAGAAGCGCGCAGTCCTCTTTGCTTATCCCTGACAAGATTCTTGTACGTAGAATACGTCAGTAAATATTTCTGCAGGCGTTTTTGTACTGACACCCAAACCACGATGCCAACGCGAACGCCACAGGTTATAGCGTTTGTTCTGTCGCTGACCGTTTTAACGTTTCTGGGGGACAACCAAGCGCCTCCTGCGGTTTCAGATAAAGTCAGATAACTGGCAACAATGATTTTGAGCATCAATATGGTTCAAGTGCCGTTACTTTGATGAGTGCTCTTATTCACGGGCTCTAGTTTATGCTACGGTCCCTGATGGACAAGCTTTGAATATGTAGCCTTGGTAGAACTTTAGTATCGTGCTACGGTCGCAATTTTGTGGTCGTTGTTTGTTACTTTTTTGTGATTTGAGGGCTACCAGCTAAGCCTTTACTATATAACCCTTGCAGAAAATGACGTGTCCATCGCCGGATCGGTGTCAGGCGCCCGACCTGGTGCCGCCAGACAGTTAAAGGCGCTCCTGACCAAGCGCGTCATCTTCTTTTCCCAATCCTACTTCCTGATGCTCTTTATCTTTCTGACTCCGGCCCTGGTATTTCTGACCGAGTTCCGCGGCAATCGGGAAACATTGTTGGAGTTGTCCGTCAATATCCGAAGTCTCCCACTGTCTATGAAGGCCCTCTACGGCGACGGCCACACGTTCGGCCAGCATGACGTGGCGGCCAAGGATTATTTCGAACAGTACCGGCCACTGGTGGAGAGTGAAGATGCCACACTGCGGATATTCGAGAACGCCACCAAAGAGCTGCTGACCGAAGCCCAGGAGGACTACGTTGCGTTCAGCCAGGCCTACCTACTCGGCGGTGTGTTCGAGGGACAAAGGTCGGTTCCCTTTCCTTTTCACGAAAAGAACGAATCGGGGAACAGTTTCCGGTTTCGAAGCTCACGAAACGCTGCCTTTCATAAAAAGGCCCCAAGAAGGTGCTGCTGTGTTTTTCATCCATGCGAACTTCCGCTTAAATAGGAGGACTAATCATTCCCCACCACAACACCGCTTTTTGTAACGTTCATAAAATGTTTCACCACCAATAGACCCGATGCGACCCCATGCGTAAAAGGGCGCCCCTACTGCCGCGCAGAGAAACTAGGACAGGCCGCCAACACGGAACTAACATTATTATATTAGCTCAGTTACGGAACTGCTCTAGAGGGGATTGCTGCAAGAGCAGTACCCCCTCTCACTACGGCTAACCTTCCGCGGTTCGACGCGCCGGACGGCTGCTATGATAATGATAACTGCAGTGTATTCTGTGGAATACGTGCGTTTTGAAACATGGCGTCTAGATGGTGTTTCAGTTTTGCTTTATGGAACGCACTGTTATGAAACAAAAATCTAGATGGCGCTTCGAATGACGGGAGGTGAACTTAAAGGGGCCCTGCAATCATATTTTAGCGTCTACCTTTTTTGCGGTTTCCACGTCTCTTGGGGTTCGGGCAAGCCAGCGGGCACGGAGAGAGTAACTAAATATCAGTGCGTCATATTTTAACCGGACGACGCGAAAACCTCCTCCACCTACGGGGGCGACCCGCGGTGTCGAAAGCGCGCGATATGTGACGTGTTTGGTCCTGAGCTTACTACTGGTCAGAGCCGCTAAAAGCTTCTTTTCAGTCGAAATACAAGATATAAGTGGCCCGAACCGTTTCACTTATTTATAAAAGTAGTTTTTGTTCACTATTTCAGATCAGAAAAAAACAAATGCAGTTTAGAAAGTCCGGAAACAAGAAATGACCCTTCGAAATACCCGCCACTAAGCGGTGGAAAAGGCGCCGTATACTAGAAAAATGTTGTGGGATCAGGCACCAACGAGCGGCGAGCGCAGAAAGGTCCCGGATGTACGCGGCGGCGCTGCGCTCGTATGGACTGGAGGATCCGACCGGTTCCGAGCGTTCCAGGGCCTCCGGCGGACAGATTTCGCTTGCGGTTTGGCCCTTTGGCGGTATGTCTTTGCCCTGTGCTTGCTGTCGTTTGTGGCCTATGAAGTGTCATGTTGAATTAGTGTTTTATCGCGCACCAAATGCAATGCGAGCCGCCCTGGCTGCCTGCTTCATACAGCCTAGCCAAAACATGCTTTAGTGGCGCCCTCTCGAGCCGTCGAGTCGGAGAGCGGCAGCCGTGACCGCTCACTTAGCTCACTACCCCTCCTCTTGTTCACGGCCACTCAAGTAACCAAAGACGCCACGAAGGAGGTTATTTTTATAACTTCTAAAATAAAGCGAAATTTGTGAAAAGAAAAGTTTCATTAGGTTACTACGTTCAGTGCGCTCATGTTCGGTGCAAATGAAGAACCAGTAAAAACGTCTTCGCAGGGCCCTTTTAAGTGACTGAGGAGGGTACCCCCCTCCGCGGGAGTTCAAGAATTGAGGTAATCTAGTAACGTTCGCACGAACTCCGTTCCGTCACGGCGCGGTGGGGGCAACGTTATTGGATTATGTTAGTCACGGAACTGGTCATAGACGCTGCTTGCACAAGCAGTACCCCCTCACTTACCACGACTTGCCTCCCGTCGTTCGATGCGCCACAGGGCTGCAGCGTCTTCTATGAAATACTTACGTTTCGAAGCGCAGCATCTAGATGGCATTCTACCATACTCTATGGAACACACAGTTTTGAAACGAAATCGCGCTTCAAACGACGGAAGGCGGACTGAAGCGAGTGAAGCGGGACGCTCCCTTCCGCGAGAGTTCCACAACTGAGGTAATCTAGTGACGCTGGGTGGTGGGGCGTCGGGCGCACTTCCGGTCTAGGGCTGTGGGCGGAAGTCACCATGCGGGAGGTGCATTCCTGTGATATTTTGGAAGAAACCAGACAAAAACTTGCCTTCTCGTCAAAACGCCGCGACTGGGCCTGTACCCAAAAGAGGCGGAAAAGGTTTGAAGGTCAGTTTTCATGTGTTTTCTGCCTGCTCGGTTCGTCCGACAACCTGGTTAGAAGACCCTGAAAAAGGAATACCAAACTCCGTCACACCACGATTGCTTGTATGGGAAGCACTTTGGTTTGAATTTACGGACACTTGTGGTCATCAGTTTTATTTGTTTTGTTCTAACATGAGCAAGGGAAAACCGTCATCAAATTTATTTTTTTTTGTTCCAACATGAACACGGGATAACCGCCAAGTTGTACGGACCATCTGCGGACTACGTTCCGTGCGTTTTCAAGTTCAAACGGCCGCCTGATTGTTCGTACTGTCGTCTTACTCTTTCGAACGTTTCTGCTTGTTGTCTTCTGCTCGTTGAAACGACAGCGGCCCATAGACCAAACGTTGACCCGGTAATTGCGATAAGAAGTAAGTGCAGGCCTCAAAAGAATTTTACGTTTGAAGGTTGGTTGGGATAAGTAGGTCCAGGGTAAACAGTAGATGCAAGGAGGTTTTGATAGCTGTCACCAATGGCCATCACCGACTTGTTCTGCGTGATTCGCTTGTTCCGGTTCTGCTTGCGATTTTGAGTATCGACGTCGACCATCTCAGCTACGGTTCACACTTTCGCAGCCCGAGCGACGTCATGAATGAAAATAGCGAGAAGAATCTCATCATGTTAATCAGGGTTTAGAGTCCATTCCGCGGCGTCCATGCAGAATAAATCGCAGCATGTGACATTATTCAGGCGAAGCTTTGCGGTGTAACGATTCTCGTTAATTTCGCTGAGGCTGCTAAAGTAGTCATTACCAGGAAGACTTAGAATCAACTATTTCAACGAGAAAAAAAGCACGGGTACTCACACCAACGTCGATAACAACGCATTCCAATCACTTGTTTGTGTGCGACGGCGAGCTTCTTGTCCACACTCCATCGCGCATGGGGGGCGCCGGTGGCGTCCGCTAGGGGCGTTCCGGTTTGTTTGTAAATAAAGCCACTTCATGTTTCAAAAGTAGCGCAAGGTGCGTCGATGCACGAGGCACGTGTTACGCGCAGCCCTTGGGAAGATCATGGCGGCGCAGCGCAGCACTGAGCTATAGATTTCGGACGCCATGTTCTTCCCGGAAGTGGTACGTGGCCCGTGTCTCGAGCATTTCCACAACAATGAATGGCGCCCATTTTCCCAGGATAGAGGGGCTTTATTTGTAAAGCAGTTGTTGCCCAGCATTTCATGGTCGCCGATGTGTAGTGTTGGCTGGCCGCCTGATGGCCAGGAGCACGGTGTAAGATACAGTCTTTAGGTGAGGGCACGGTGTAAGATGAGGACAGCGCGCTACTCGCGCAGTGCAGATAAAGTTCGCTTTTCATTTCCTCTCTTTCTCTCTCTCACTATGGTTTCAAGCGGCGCCGGCAGATGACTCGTCGACCCGTGGGCACGGTAAAGACGGCTCGTGCCGCCTCATGCTCCAGACGCGCAGAGCTCTAGCGAGGTGTTCGCTCGTGCAGAAAGACTACGGTGTACCGGGTGTCATAGCAACGAGATAATTTTTTTCGCTCTCACACAGTTTCGCCGTTCGGCCGCCGGCAGCACTGTGAAGCCTAGTTCACATGCAGCGGTTTTGGCCCTAGAGCGGCGCGATTTCTGCCGTCGCGGCGCTCGTGCCGCAGAATTGCTGGTGCTGGCCAGAGCGCCGCGACGGCAGAAATCGCGCCGCTCTAGGGCCAAAACCGCTGCATGTGAACTAGGCTTCAGCCGCGGGGACGGTGGCCGCAGAATAATGCAACATTTCGGATGCCCGTCGAACGAACACTATCTGATTCCTCGCGCCGCGGGTTCAGCCCCGCCGTGTCCTCACCTAAAGAGTGTATCTTACACCGTGGGTGAGGGTACGGCGGTGCTGAACGCGCGGCGCGAGGAATCAGATAGTGCTCGTTCGACGGGTATCCGAAAGGCTGCATTATTCTGCGGCCACCGTGCCCGCGGCTGGCAGTGTCGCCGGTGGCCAAACGGCGGAACTGTGTGAAAGCAGCTGGGAGTCCTCGGAACCCCCAGTTGCTCCCCGAAAAGAACCTGGTTCAGGCTTCTGCTTTATCTTCCTTTTATTCTTCACAAAATATCAGTTGTGAGTCAGCGCCTGTCCGTGTCTGCGTCCTCCACTTGTCCTCGTCTTTAGCGCTGCCTTTAATCTTGTAGGAATATTTCGTCGCTTAATTATCATTGGGGCGCGTGTTAAACTATCCGACCCACCCCTTTCACGACGCTTCGCGGCGACAGTGTGCGGCAGTTCTTTACGAAACTGTGAACCCACCTCGCTCACCCATATACATGCCGCTTGCAGCACCGTGAACGGGTGTCCTGTACCCGCGCATCAGAACCCCATATACAGTTCTGCCGTGCATGTACCCATACCATCGCTCACTGGCAGACTACCGCACACCTAACGAAAAAGAGAAAAGTTCTTGATGGCACATAGCAAGATATGCCAATAAAACGAGTGTCGATGAAACGATCTATTGATAAAACGTCGCAATGTCGATGAAACAAACTGTCGGGGAAATGCCGTTTAATGAAACAAGGGCCACTGCAAAAAAAAAAAAAAGCTTGTTTTTGAGTTGTAATACTTCAGCAACATCGCAAATAGCATCATCTTTAAATACCCATTGCAAAAAAAAAAAAAAAAAAAAAAAAAAAAAAACTAGTGAATTCAATGACGACAATAATCCCCGGAGAAGGGGAACAAAGGGCAAACACAAATACCCAAACACAGATAGGTGATTGGTGCGCGACGGAAAAAAAAATCGCCTGGTCGGGGTATCGAACCCAGGACCTCCCCCCATTTTCAGTGGAGCGCTCTACCAACTGAGCTAACCAGGGTTTAGACTGCAGTAGAGAAAATGGGTTTATTAGCTGCCACCAGTTTAACACCAACAAGGGTGAAAGGCCTGACTTTTAAGGTTATGATTATAATGCAATTAAATCCAAAGGTGCAAGCGAGTTGTACAAGAATGGCGAAAATAATCCCCGGAGAAAGGAATATTTTCGTCATTCTTGTCAAGCTCGCTTGCACCTTTGCATCTAATTGCATTACAATCATGAATTTCATGTCCCTCTGTTGTTAAAGTTCGGGACCTGGAATTTAATGAGGGGCAGCTGGTTCGTCTCCATCAAGCAAATTGAAATGGTTCTGGTCTGGACAAGAGGGACTCGTTGTCAGCGATATTGGTGCAAAATTATGACGAGTGCAGCGAGCTCGGACCTGAGAGTTAAGGTTCAACGTGGGGCTTTCTAAGCCGAGGGGTATGGCGAGGGCACACCCGATAGTGGGAAACGACCACCTACCTATTTGATATCGTTTCAAGCCTCACGACTTCAGCTTTCAAAGGGCTCTGCATGATTCATCATATTGAAAAACTTCAGAGTCGCCCATTAGAGGCATGCTACGATTCCACTCCAACAGTAGATCCCCAGGCCTTCCAGGAGGAGACCCACTTGATTCGGGTGCGAGAAAAGACGGAGGCACTACAGCAGCACCAACGGAAAATCAGATTACGCCTGTTACAGACCACAGCATCACAAAACCGAGGAGTACCTCCATTCATTCTAAAAGTTCCAGAAGCCATCCAAGCACTCAAGATGACCTTTCATTACTTCACAACGCTCTCCTTGGCAACAAGTCTGGCCGCAATCTGTGCATTGTGGTTCTTATCGGCTCCAAAAATGTTCGATTTAATCCTCTACACTGCACTGGTCCAGGGACTCAAAATTGAGGGCTCTATGGAAAACCGCTTCACTTCATCACAGCGTTCCTGCAGGAATGACGATATCAAGCTTCGGTCAAACTGACACTATACTCGCGGTCAGCTTTCCGTGGTAATCCGAAGAGAGGAGGAAAGCGCGTGTACAGCGGTTGATGCACCCTCTCCCCTCGCATTGACTGCATTGCCACAGAAAGCTGACCGCGAGTATAGGCCCAGTTACTAGCAAAGACATTGGCATTCCCCACATCCCACTCGCTTCAGCCACTTCTCATCAATGTTGTAAATACTTTTCCTTGCGTCAAGCAGTTAGTGCTATTTTTACGGGCTTGGCGGGCGGTGCGTGTCGCATCTGAACTTACGCGCTCATTATCCGCTGCCGTGCAACTCGGTTGAGGCCATCGCCGCTCTTATGTTTCCTGTAGAAGCGCCTTCGTGTAAACGGCGAGGCTGCACTTGACTCTCTTGACGAAGAAGAATTGGAGGAATCGTATTCCGCTGTCTGCACATTGGGATTCTTGGGATTCAGACGAGTGAACAAAAAACACCTTCGGATTTGTCAAAAGCCCGAAACGCAGGGTTTTCTCCACTTTCCCCGGTAAATAAACGCAGCGAATGTACCTAATTCGTGTAGGAAGGTTATCAAGCCAAACGCAACAACCATATATGCCTCACTTAAAAAAAATACAATTTATATCTATTTGAATAGCAAAGGATGCTTTCTTTTCGCCTCTTAATTCATATAATTGTACTACTGCTCCGATTTATGTCTGTAATAGGCAGGAAGTTTTAATATTTTTATTAACGAACAATTTTCGGGGCCACTAAAGCTTTCTTCTTACTTCATTCTTCCGGAGCGAGTAATGTAGAAGACTAAAATATATAATTTGCCCCGACAAGGTGGCGCAAGCTGCCACCTGTTAAAATGTCTGTAGCCAATATCTATCCATTGGAGCAGAAGGGGCGTTTTCGGGGAACTATTTTCTCGACCGCGGAGGCGTTTGAAGCGGGCGCATCACGCTTGTGGGGAGGAGCTGTCTTCTTGACTTGTAACCGACTATAGTGTTTAGAGCTAAAGAATAGGTTAGCGTGAAATCTGTTGGAGAGTCTTGGATACTCCTATAAGACAACCGACCACCCGGAATATGTTTAAAAATACAACAAAAGGACTTGGCTAAATCTTCAACTTCGTCGTTTCGGTAGCACTTAAACGTTCTAGAAAATGTATCATAAACAAGCTCGAAACAGCAATTGGTAACAGCCTGGGACCCAGGAGACTGCTTGGGTTTTTAAACATAAAAAGGTTCTATTGCGTAGTCAAGCAAAATAAATAAATCAGACTGTGTGCGACATCTTAGATTCGCACTCTAATTGCTACTGTATTAAATTGTTTTGATGCGGGGCGGATAGGGGTGGCCAAACTGCGGCTCGCGAGCCGCAGTTCGCGGCGCTTCGCGGGTCCAAGTGCGGCTCGCGGCTCCCTGGTAAGCGTGCCCTCCTTCCTCTCCTCTCTACCCCCCCCCCCCCCCCCCTCACCCCCCGAAACAAAAGTTCTAGAAAAAAAAAAATGTGTAGCTCGCAGTTTTGGCAGTTTTGTGCTACACTACATACATACGGCTAAACTGCTTTTTTACACATAGATGTGTCCAGTGACCGTGTCTCCTTTATTGTTCTAGAAATAATTTCGAACCGGATAGGCATAAAGTGAGTCAGGGGCAGTGGCTGGTTGAAGAAACGTTCTGCTGCCTGGTGCTATTTATTGTAGTCGACAATTACTCTTGTCCCCTTTGAAAAGGACTGTTCCCTCCATATCGTTTCTTTTGATCCCCAGGATTCCGCTTTTATCCTTGAAAGTACTCGGCGACAAAGAAGCTTCTTGGTCGATGACATGGTGCTCGAGTATACTTGGGCCCCAGTAGATCCAGTAAACTTGGGTAAAGCGAGAAACGTTCCTACCCAATGTCTTTGCTTGGCCCCTTTACTTTCAGGCTCGAGAGCTGGTACAACCCTTTCGCTCCCCTCAGCCAAGCGATCGGCGTCAACCTTGTGGACACTGCGCTCCTCCGCCTGCTAACCGGGAATCACGCCGCCCGAATCCGAACCACGTTCAAAGTGACCGCAACCCCCTTGGCGGACCAAACAGAGCGAGAAGGGCGCTCTGCGGGAAACCTGGACTCGATTTTTAAAATAGGCATCGGTCTGCTTCCATGGATCTTCGCCGCCCCTTTGGTAGTGGGCCTGCTACTGTCCGGCTTCGTTATCTTCCCGTTCACGGAGACCGCCAGCCACGCCAAAGAACTCCAGCTCATGACCGGCGTTCCCGGTTACCTGTACTGCCTGTCCAACTTTCTCTTCGACCTCGTCGTCTACCTGGCGGCCTTTGTTCCGCTGGCCGTGTGCTTCGTCTATCTGTACAGCCTGGAGACGCAGTCGTACGGTAACGAACTTGTTCATGCGGTAGCATTTCTTTAACGACGTGTTGGAGCTGTGCAGGTTCGGTCATGCTTGTGGATAGGAGCAGCCTTTCTTGTTATAGTATGCAGTTGTTTGTATTTTAAACTTTACAAATTTCTAAAAAAAAAAAGAAAAAAAAGAAAACTTAGAAGCCACACCAATCCGGTCTACGCAGGCGAGCCATACGTTTAGAGGGAAAAAATACATAGGGCTAATCATCGCAAGTCAAATAAATAACTAAATGTCGCTAATCAACTTTCTAACTAGTGAAAAATAAATATATAGGTACAATTCTAAACTTGATCAGCGTCATTGAAAACCACTAAATTTGTCCATTTCAGAACGACTGTGAGCACGGGGGACGTGGACCAGTGCGCTAACGTTACTGTACTCGTGCAACCGGCGCAAGCCTGGCGGTATATAAAAACGCGAATGATGGACGGAAAACGCGCGCAGGCGTATTTTCGCACATCCAGGCTTGCGCCTGCGGCAAGAGGTGACTTTAGCGCGCCACCGCGTTTCCCACGCGACTTGAATCTTTCCAAATTTAGTGATTTAGTGGTTTTTGATGAGACTCAGCAAGTTTGTGTTTGTAACCCTGTGTTTATATTCACTTAACAAAATTAACACATTTGAGTCAATTATCGGACTTAGCGCGACGATTAGTCCTCTGTATTATGTCCCCTTGGTCATATAACTTGCCTGCATAAACTGCGCATTAATTTAGCTTTAACGTGTTTTTTTTTATTATCAAAGCTGTGGTGCTTAGAAAAAAAAAACTTGTTTTTTTAGCAATAAATAAATGAATAAATGAAACTAAAAAGTAAAGCAATGCTTTATATACAATATCAATACAAGTCCATCGTAGAATACCTACCGCTAAACGTCACTTTTATGTTTGGGCAATACGTTTTAAGTTTCTTTATATTTTCTTCATACAAGAAGAAAAGGAGGGAAAAAAGCACTACAAAACTGCTTGACAAAGTCCCCTCCTCCCTCAACAGCAGAGGAAGCTCTCAAAACACACACACACACACAAAGAAAACTCTCAAGAATACATTATCTGAAAAACCACTAGAGATAGTATGTGTTTGTCGGAAACATTTTCAATTGTAATATTCAGTGATAAAGGATAGTTCAACGTTCAACACCTTGGGCTTCTGGTATCTAATCATCCGTAGTTTGTTCTCGAGCGCGGGATCATCCAAGCAATCCAAGCGTCGGCATGGCGTGTGGAATACGAAGTTTTATTGCGCCAAATCGTACTAAAAATAAACCGTTACAAAAGAAAAAAAAAGCTGTGCTCTGTTTTATATTATGTTGTACCGCAGCGAAGGCTACAAGCGCGAGCTCATAGCGCTGGCAGCTCCCCTTAATGCATGAGAGCTTGTGCCGCCGAGACGTGCTCCAGAGCAAAGAGCTGGCGCTTGTACCCTTACCTACGGTACATCATAAGGTGAAATAAAGTATAGGTTATAATGGTATATACAGGGATCCTAGACTCGTCAGACAGAAAGTTGGAGCCGAAGATTGCGGAACATAGAAAAATGGAGGACTAGAGAAAAGAGCGCATAAATAACGCTAATTGTTTTGTTCGCGCTGTTTCTTTTTCATGTTAAATTGACTAGCCCATCTCCACTATCTCCACGCCTTGTTTAGGAAGCGCTACGCTTTTGCTCGCACGACGATGACGCCGAGCTTTTGTCGCCGAAGTCCAATCAGCGCGCTCCGCGAGCTGCCGGTTTCAACTTTGCGTTTCACGAATCTCAAACCTAAGGTTGCATTGACGTTTTTTTGTTTTTTTTTGTGTGTTTTCGTGTTTGTGTGTGTGTGTGTGTGCAATGTGTATGCGTGTGATTATTTTGAGAGAATTTACGTGTGGGATGATTACAACTATTGCTTCACCTTTGTTTCTTGCATATCAGCTCAGCTGTTTGCTATACGCCGGATCATTCTGATTCTACATATTTATTTGTATTAGTCAAAGATTGTTTGTGATCGACTGCCTTTTTTCCTCCTATAGCACTGTTGGTTTGTCCTGTACACCCTTAAAAAACTATCAAAGAGTGTCAATTGAGTTTCTAATGAACTCATGAGAATACATCAGAAACTCATTTGAAACTCACTGGTATTTTTTGTAAGAATAGGACTTCAGGCATTGCAGTATTTTTGTCACCACAATATTGTGACAGGTGTAAACATACCATGTAGTAGTGCTGAAAACGCTACCCGGCTCTGATATGAACCACGGATGGCAGATATCTGCTGATATGTTCTCTTAGCTTTCGCTCCCACGTTCTTTCGATGGATACTCAAGAAACAAGCCTGAGCATGAGGAAAGCAGAGTATATATAGATATACGATTTTCTCTGCTTGCTGGTTCTTCTCTTAGTGGCCGTAGCAGCGGTCGTTCTGGCACACTCGATGGTCGGCGTCTTGTTGCCTCATCTGATTGCCACGTTCACCGCAACCCAGGCGGGCGCCTTCGCCCTGGTCCTTTTGCCGTGCACCATCGGAGGTACGTGTAAAGCGAGTCATGATTGTGCCCTCATGTTATCAGCCGCTGCTCTTTTCTTATCGGCTTCACTGCTCACATACTCTGTATATATTATCTTGTTCCCGGCAATAAACGTTCGTTCGTCATTTGACACGCACTAGACTACAATATGTTCGTAAAGCATTATTCATTTCTTAACGACAAGCCAGAAGAAAAATTGAAATGAGTGTGCTAACTTCTCGTGGTGCTTCGAATGAAGATTGGGCGCACATAAAGATGTGCATTTTTATCAATAAATTATAAACGTTGAGAGGAATGTACATCACAAAAAAGCTGATACTTTATTAACATAAACTTCTCAGGCGGATACTTCCCTTCTTTAAATATGTACACACTATACAATCTGTGTACACATTTCTCCATCATCATGAAAGGTGTTCACGCTACAGGGTTTGTGCACATTTCCCCATTAGCATCAAATGTGTGCACATTACAGTGTGTGGTTATTCCTTCCAAGATGGGATCTCTTTTCTGGAGGCGATCTGTGTCTGTAAAGTCTCGGTTGTTATTCACATACCTGTCAAGGTTTATAAATATTGGGAAATATTCTATTCGATCCTTCTTTCTATTTCGTTTTTTTTCTTCTTCTTTTAGGTCTTTCGCTGTACACTGGAAAAATAAGAAACGAAAATGACTTAACTTTTGTTTTATTTCGTTTTATTTACAGGCGCAATTCAGGCGTCTGTTAAATTAACGCTGGGAAATCACTGGAAGGGAGCGGTAAACTGGATCGTGCTCTTCCTGCCTCCTGGTTCACTGGCGATCGCCCTCCTCAAGGTAGTCAAACTCGACGCCGAGAACAAGGAGTGCCTGAGTATAATGAGCGTCGATAACAGCTCGACGCCCGAAGGTTGTCGGGGCGGCTCTTGGCAGTCGTTCGGCCATGGATTAGAGCGCTGTTGCGAAGGTAAGCAACTACGGCAGCCGCCTTAATTATTATAGGGTTCTTGAATAGGGAACCTCGACGCTGTAGGTCCCCCGAGCAGCATGGGGCGTCACGTCGCACTCCGCCTATTCAGAAAACTGCGCAAAGCGTTTGTAGAACACTTCCCAAAGCCTTGGGGCCTAGCCTACCCTAGAACACTCTATTGCTAGGGTCGCTTGCGAAGTCATGGCAACATCTTATAACTGCAGTTGTTAATGCCCCTTTCCATCAAAATGCAAAGACCTCCGTCGCCGTTGCACTAGTCTCTCCATATCGCCGTCGTCACTCGTACAACCACGTCTTCCATGACAAACGCCCCCCCCCCCCCCCCCCCCCCCTTTGCTGTGCTTCAAGATAAACGCATCAAGAAGCACAAACCAGAAAGCAAGGCCTGCGCATGATGTCACCGTTTGTGAATCTCGGACCCGCTCCAAGCGGTAATTACGCCGCAACTTGAACACATATACGTCGCAAAACGTTTACGCTCGTTATTCATGTATTGTACTCCCGGCTTTCTTTACATGCTGAAATCAGCCAACTCTGCGGTTCGTAGATACAGCTTTCTCCATATATACACTAAGATCCATCTTCTAATGTGTCAGTTAAAGGAACCTCAAAATTAATCTGCGGCAGGGGTAAATAATAGTAGATTGGGATTTTACTGAATTTTGTTTAGTGAGCCAAAAAGAAAACTATCACACGAGTGTAGAAAGCCAGAGGCCTGCTTTTCGGTACGAACATTTGAAAATATAGGGAACTATTTCATACCTTCTTTCCTTCAAAAGCTGTCCGTCTCTCCGTGCGATTCATCCGCTGTGCACAAGCGCGATTACCGAAACCACGCATTCGACACGTGCACTGCGTCCCTCGGACGTATATGGGCTCGTCAGCGATCAATCCACCGACGTTTGGATTCGCGTTCGTGGCCAATGAGTGCCGTGACGGAACTTGCGAATGACAAGTTCCGTGGTGAGCTTAGAAAGCACAGCTTGGGGTCACTGCATCCAATGAAATGCGCACTACGTAAGGACCACGTGATTTCTCATTTCGCCTTTGAGTTGAAGAGGGAACCTAAGGAGAAAGAAGTTGAGGCGACGAGCAAAAGGAAAAAGTGCAAGAGCACCCTCTCTTTCCACGAAAAAGTGTCAAGGCGAAAAGTAATAAAGCACACACCAATTTGGTCGTCTTTTTCCTCTCAAACTATTACAGTCACTCACATGATACGTAAAATTGGGTGTGGTTTATGCTGATCGCGCTTCTTGCATCGTGATTCGTTGTTTTGGCGTTCTTATCTCTTAGTTCTTCAATCTTATTGATAGTAGACCGATAAGATACTCGGAACTCGATACTTCCTGCCTTCTTAAGAGATGTCAACGACTTGAATGTTGCTGAAGCCGTGATAATCCGCTGCGCCGTTGGCTTAGCTCTGAGAGTGTTGTATTGGTGTCTACTTCTCATATGAATAGGTCGACAAACCTGGTCTTTATGCACACTTGGCCAACTTTTAATGAACAAAAGGTTAGGGCGCAAACGAGCTGATGGTGGTTAAACATTTGACTGAAAACCCCGAGAGTGGGACGAGAAGGGACGGACAAACACAAAGTCACAATTGAGACTTTGTGTTTGTCCGTCCCTTCTCGTACCAGTCTCGGGGTTTTTAGTCAAATGTTTATTCGCCAAGTTTGTTAACGCACCGCAGCTCGAAGCATGGGCAGCAAAAACTTCCGGATTGAACCGATGAATCCTGGGTTCAATCCGCACCCCTGCCCGATCTGGGCGGACATCGTATACCGACGTGCGGTCGTGTATCGCTACCGCGTGATGCACGTTAAAGACTTCAGGCTATAGCAGTCGTACTGCGCTGGCTAAGTTTCTCAGCTACAGTGGGTAAAATATGTTGCCATTCTCTGGGAGACTAAACACGATGTCTAAAACAACTAGCGACTAATTTGTTTGTTTGCACGCTTCAGGGACGCACTCGCGGCGACGCGGACGTACAGCATGGATGCAGAATTGATCAATTCCTAAGAGAAAACGCACAGGCCTTTTCTTCTATTGTCATTGAGAGCTTAAAGAAAGCAGGGCATGATTTCGTATGTTCACGCTTCTTGCTTGGTGATTCGCTTTTCGACACTCCTATCCGCACCACACGCTCATGGACTACGGAGCGATAATGAGTTGCCAGAAGCTCTCCACGCTTTATGGTTCTTAAGTTACTTTTGGGTACTACTGATAGTGACTGCAGCTCCCCCAGCGTCATCCGTACCGCCTTAATCCTTTTGTATTCACCCGAGTGCATCAGACAACCGAATTCACCATTCCTCTTGCACTTCCAGTAATAGAAGCCAAATCGAAGCACATCAGCCTGTTAGGACCCTTCTCCCCGAGTCACGGCGGCATCCTCTTCGATTTGCTCGCGATGTTGGTGATGGGGGCGTGCCTCTTCGCCCTCATCAGCTGGATGGACTCTGGGCGTTTTTTGCCGTCACTGCCCCACGTCACCAAAGACGACGCCGACGGCGTGATCGACTCCGACGTCCAAGCGGAGAAGCGCCTTGTGGACGACCTGTGCTCGGCCAAGAAGTTCCACGAACACTCGCTAGTCGCCCACAACGTGCACAAGTGGTACAAGTCCATGCACGCGGTGAGGGGACTCAACTTTGCCGTGGCTCCCAGCGAGTGCTTCGGGCTGCTGGGGGTCAACGGGGCCGGCAAGACGACCACGTTCCAGGTGCTCACGGCGCTCCTGCCCATGTCGCAAGGCGACGGATACATGGAGGACGTGAGGCTTTCGAGTAACCCTCGAAAGGTAGGAAAACCTGGCGCAAAGTGGGGGGCAAACACTCGCGCTTACGCGGGTCCACTCACAGTATCTTTCGAACGTTCGGGTACTGTTCCTGGAGCGCGTCCCCGACTGGTGTGTTTAGCGTCCTGTTCCGCCCATGTGAAGGGTCCCGAGGTGGCAACAAATTACGTCACAAAAGACCAAATGTCATATGCTGTCGGATGTCGCGATCCTGGCGATTGGGTTAAGGAGTTCTGAAAACGAGCCCGAGAGAATGCACTGTCTCTGTCTTCTGGGCGTCTCAACCCCAGGCTGCCGAAGCTTTCGTGGAGTGTCAAGCTGGAGAGCTGCCTGCAGCAGAACATGGCGTCTGCCACATTTAGCACCGCTGCTTTCACAACATGGCACCTTCATGACGCCATCAGGCGGAAATCGAGAGACCACTTTTTTTTTTTGGACGCGGTAAACATACGAGTCGGAGGACGCGTATGTGGGCATTATGAACTTATAATGGCCACATACGCGTGGTTTGCACTGGCGTCACAGCAGCTGCCATTGTGGTGCCCTTGCTTCTGAGCGCATACCCTGCGCAGCGCACATTTTGTAACACCGAATTTGTTTTTTCTTGTTAAGGAAGAGCAAGAATAACCAGAAGCACAGTGCGATGACGTCGCACTGTGCTTCTGGTTCTGCACATAAAGGCACATTTTAAAACAACTAGAATAGTGAGTATTCACGGGCGGCCATAGCTGTGCGCGCGACTGCTGAATACGTGCTGATGGCAAGCTTCCGCAGTTCTTTTGCAACGAGCACTCCACACCATCAAGACTGCCACATCATCAAGACTGTGAGCTCGTTTCGAGCATGCGCTCAAGACAGCGCCCTTAAATATGGCGTCCAGTGAATACCCCCAATTGGGAAGTTTTAAACCTCGAAACTACGTCTTCATTTTTACGCTAAAACGAAATATTTCTGACATCACCTTTTTATGCAGATTGCCATCCAGCTTTACCATTCTAGTGTACTATAAAAAAAATATAGTGCAGCTGCCGCAGTCTTTATAAGCCATACAACGTGACCTTGCTCCCAAATTACTCTCGGCAGTGGCAGTCCCACATCGGCTACTGCCTCCAATATGGCGGCCTACTGGACAAGCTGAACTCGTACCAACTGCTGTACCTGTTCGCCCGGCTCAGGGGCGTTCCCGAGAATAAGGTCAAGCAGCTCGTCGACAGCATGATCAGCGTCTGCGACCTGCAAAACCACGCCCACAAAGAATGCGGATCCTACAGGTACGTGACGCTAAAAGTGCTTGTCCGTGCAATGGATGGATTAATCTTTCGATTAATCGATGCATGCGTTTTAATCGCGATAAATCTTCTTAGCGGGTTCGAGGAGGTTCGAGTGAAAATCCAAGGAGAAAGTTAAAATGATTGCTTCACCAGATGATGCACATTTATGAATTTTAGGAAGCAACACCGTTGTATTACAGAGCAAAAAAAAAAAAAAAAAAAACATTAAACGGTTTGTTTATTTTTGTCTTTGCAGAGCTACGGCGTCCTTTTTTTTTGAGATTTTTTGTATGAATAACATAATAAGATAATAATAATAATAATAATAATAATAGCTTTATTTACCATGTATAAGCATGGTGGGGGCTGAAGAAAAAAGCTGTCCAAGCAGCTTGACTGGTCCTCAGCCCCCCTCAGGTACATAAAGTGGCGAGAAAGACATTTAAAAGAACACAAATTATATAATAATACAAGGTACTTTCATCATAACAATGAACAACAGAAAACTATCAGCAATACGTCAAAAAAGAATAGCACTGGCTTATAAAAGAAATTGGGAAGTTGTACACAAGAAAGGGAAAACTATCCTAAATATTCTAAGATGCTTCAAGATAATATATATATATATATATATATATATATATATATATATATATAAAACTGAGAAGAAAAAACCCCGTAGTAAAAAACAGCAACAACGGACGATTTAATCTTCGACGTTTCGGCCGGAGTCCGGCCTTCGTCAGGAAGAACTTCTACAGATGAACGCGGGTGTATTTATACAATGCTATGGTCGAATCCAAATTTCGGAGGGGTGACGGTTGAAGCTTTCGAGAGAGGGAAGCGTAGGGCAGTTCTTATCCGGGTGAAGAAGCTTGACGGTCGGTGCCAAGTTTCAAGGACGGCGGGATGACGGTTGTAGCTTCTTGAGAGGGGGCGCAGGGTGACTTTGTGTCCGGGCCGGCAGCGGTGACCTATAAAACGATAGCGTACATAAAAAAAAAAAAGGGCGGCACGGTCATTTGTGTGCATGCAGGCATGCATGAGTCAAACCTGGAAGGGAACAATGTTAAACCTAGAAGTAAAAAGAAATACAATGGATATCAGAACCTGGAAATAAAAGAGAAGTTGATGGTCCAGTTCCGGCCCCAAACACAGTACCACTGTTAACAACAAAATCTACAAAAAAAAAAAGGTTTTTGGATTGCTGTTGCTATTCGTCTGTTAGCATTTTAATCGATGCCAGAGTACCGGGGCTTTCATTTATTCCTTGTTTAATAGTGTTAAATCGGTAAATTAGGTAGGATTCACGCTGTTCACGTTCGCGATTTGATTTAAATCCAGATTCTAGGAGCGTCACTGACAATTTATCAAAAGAATGTTTTGGGAGAGCGAGATGTTTGGATAAAGGCAGTGCCGGAAGATTTATGGCGTGAGATTTGTGATTATTAAAACGCAGTCTAAATGCCGTTCTAGTCTGCCCTATGTATTGCATTTTGCATGCCGTACACTCGAATAAGTAAACGACATTCGACGAGGCACATGTTAAGTTCCCTTTAATTTTGATCGAGAACTGCGAGTGCGTGCTCCTGGCCGTGCTTGTGTGCTGCATCTGTTTACAAATTAGACATCCTAGGTGCCTGCAAGGCCTACATTCGTTAGGTGGTGGCGATGAATTTATCCGAGAGTTTACTAGCGCGTCTTTGAGGTTACGCGATCATCTGTGGACTACCCCCGGGGCGGATGGAAACGCGCGTTTAAGGCGCTCGGTTTGTTCGAGAATGTTATAATGTCGTCTCAAGACATTATTTACATTAGGATGGTTTATGATATAAGTTAGACATAGATTTGTGCGTTGTGTGGCGCTTTGCGTGGGGCGCGGGCTGATGAGGTCTGCGCGGTTCAGTTGTTTGGCTTTTCTGATTGCATCGTCGATTATACGGGGTGGATACTTTTGTTTCTCTAGCACTAACTTTAAATTTTGACTGCTCGCATCAAAATCTGTTTCTTTTGAACAAATTCGTTTGAAACGATGAGCTTGGCTATAGGGAATGCTGTTCTTGCAATGGTGTGGGTGGTCGCTTTGATAATGAAGGTATTGCTGCCGATCTGTTGGCTTACGGTACAAGCTCGTGGCGAGTTTACTTTCGTCTATCTTAACGTTGACGTCTAGGAAGTTTATTTCAGTTTGAGAGTACGAATGTGTAAAGCGGATGCTCGGATGAGCAGCATTGTATCGACCTATGAAGTCCACCAGCTCCTCCTCAGTGTGCGACCATACAATAAATATATCATCTATAAACCTTTTGTATATTAGCGGCTTTACGGGACATTCAGAAAGGAACTGAGATTCTAATTTTCCCATGAATATGTTGGCATAATTCGGGGCCATTTTGGTGCCCATCGCGGTTCCGCTAATCTGCCTAAAGTATTTATTGTTAAATTCGAACGTGTTTAGTTCTAAGACAAGCCTCGCTAGAGTAGCGACGACGTGTCCATCTGGGGTATCCGGTTGTTTGTGGAGTTCGTACATGTCAATTAAAGAGAGTATTCCATCATCATGTGGAATATTCGTATACAGCGATGACACATCGAGTGTAACGAGATATGATTCTTTTGGTATGCATAAATTTGATATTTCTCTTAAGAAGTGAGTTGTGTCTTTAATGTACGAATCAAGAATTGTAGGTATATGTTTAATTAAACTGTCTACATATCCTGATATGGGTTCGGTTACTGTACCTATTCCGGATATGATTGGACGCCCTGGGTTACCAGGTTTGTGAATCTTAGGGAGCATGTAGAAGCGGCCCGGAGAAGGCTGTACCGGTTTCATTAATTTATGTTCGTTAGCAGTTATTCTGCCCTCGTCTAGGAGATCCTTAAGAACCCAGGTCACAATCTGAGTGTGGTGCACCGTAGGGTCATCCGCGAGAGGTTCATAAAACTTTGAGTCATTTAGTTGGCGGTTTCCTTCTCGGAAGTATTCAGAAGTGCTAAGAATCACAATTGCTCCTCCTTTATCGGCTGGTTTTATTGTTATGTCTGTCCTATTGCTCAGGGTTTTTAAGCTAGCCCGTTCGGATTTAGTGAGGTTATCCCGTCTTCCCGCCTGCCTGCGATATTCTCGCATTATGTCTTTTTGCACAGCGGCTATGTATAAGTCAAGACAATCATCACGGTTAGCTTTTGGCGTCCAGTCGCTCGTTGCACGCTGCTGAGAGGTGTTGGAGCGGGAGTCGCCCTCTCCCGGCAAACCTGAAGTCTATCTTGCAACGTGGAGCAAGTACGACGTCGCCAGGGTGGTCATCGGAGATCCCCACCGCCTGCACAAACCTCGACCAACATGACCGATCGGAATGGCAACAATTTTTCGCGAATGGCCTACAATTCGCGAAAAATACGGCCCGCGAACAATTCGGGCAATAAGTGAACGCTACGGAAGCTACACTCGATTCGCGAAAATTAGAACCCGCGAATAATTTCAAATTTTCAGCTTTTGCCCGATGCGCTAAAATTTGAGACCGCGAAAATTAAGTCATTTACAGTATATAGTTAAAAGAGAAATGTGTAGTTTTCATTTTTTTTTTAGATATGCTTGGAGGTCTCGGCCACCGATTTGTCGCTTATTTAATCGATTTGAGAGTGGCCATTGATGGTGTTAAAAGTGGTAGTCGATGCCCAGCCCTATTAAAAAGGGCTTCCGCTGTCGCAAGCGCCATCCGACGTCCTCGTTCCGCCAGAGCCTTGCTGAAGTCTCCGACGGCTTGTCTCTGACGGCTTACGTTCCTTGCTTCGTGATTGGTCTTTCGGCGTTCTTATCGGATAATGCGCCAAAAAACAATTTTTGCGGGCGGGCGGGTGGGTGGATAAGGTTTCGGTTTGGGCTGAAACTTTGGCATCTGGTTGTGACCTCTAGCGCTACCTTTGGGCGGAGAATGAGCGTTCGGCGATGCCTAGTTTTGTTTTTTGCCGTTAAAAAAAAGAAAAAAAAAACGTGCAATTTTTTTTGTGACGCTTTGTATATATATATATATACACACGCAGGGACTGAGGTACTCTAGGGCTATCCGATAGATGGCGCCCAGTTAAGTGGTGTGCCAATAATGCACAGTGTTTCCAACTGCTTGATCAGGGTCACGTGGTTCATGGGCCGCGTGTGCAAGACGAGCTGCGAGGAGGAGGTGACCAAAGCGTTCACCGACTGCAAGCGTCTTTGCCTTTTTTCCTGCTTTCCTCCTCGCCGCACGAAAAAGCAGCGCATGCGCACTCGAGACCGATCGCCGCGGGAGGTGTTCGCCATTAAATTGCCGATGCAAATTGCGTCGGTCACAGCCGAGCACAAATGCGCCAGAAACATAGCGTCGGCGTACACGGTTGTCCATTTCAGCGGCGGAAACAAGCGCAAGCTCTGCATGGCCGTGGCGTACATCGGCCTGCCCAGGGTGGTTTTCCTGGACGAGCCTACGGCAGGAGTGGACGTGGTGGCCCGCAGCAAGATCTTCTCAGCTCTGAAGGCGATTCGAACCGCGTCCGGGAATTCCCTCGTCCTGACCTCTCACAGGTGGGTGCATCACCTTCCGCGCCTCGCACGAAAGGCTTCAGTAAATGCGGCAGAGTTGTAAAAGAACAACTTCGGGCTAAAATATTTCGGTAAGCATTATCTCTCAGGGACTCCGTCCCTCGAGGATTAGATCCACGACACATACAATGTCCCCAGTACCGAATGCACCCGTAACATTTCAGGACCATAGTATTGTGGCGTAGAAAGAGAGGGCAGCACGGTAATGCGCGTGCAGCTGTTGAAGGCAGGGTCTTTTGTGTGGCATTATGCCAGAGGGCGTCGTGACTCGTTCCGTGGACATTTGGTGCCGCACTACGTGAACCTTTGTGACCACGTGCACGAGCACAGAGCGAAAAGCCGAGCATCAATTCTGCGTCAAAGTTGGTGGATTTGGAGCAGAGATATTTGAAATTATTCTGCATGCTTATGACGAAAAAACAATGAGTCGTACGATGTGTTTTGAGTGATACTCGCGGCGCGTCATTATTACGAACTTACGTCGAACAAGTATACGTACTGCAGATTCGGTAAATTGCAGCAAGATAATGAACAGTGCTGGGTGTTCGGCGAGTGGGTGCTGGATTGAAGAATACATGGTAGGGCTTGAAGACAAGGACAAATGGAGGAGAACTGGGCACCGCTGTGCGCTAAGAGTCTGGCTGAGTGTGCAGGCTGTGCTTAAGTTCGAGCACATCACGGACACTTATAGTGCACGCTGTGGTGTCCAGTTCTTATTTTGTCCTGTCTCCGAGTGATATATCAAGCGTTCTCAGTATGATAAGCTCATTGTGGACGCGCCTGTCGTTCTCGCTCCTCTCGCCAACGCTTCAGCATGGACGAGTGCGAGCTTGTTTGCGACCGCATCGGCATCATGGTTGCCGGCCAGTTCAAGTGCCTGGGCACGCTACAGCACCTCAAAGGCAAGTTCGGCAGGGGCTACACCCTCAACGTCCACCTCAAGAGCGTGTCCACCTTGAACGTGGCCGACTTCAGGGCGGAAGTGGAGAAAACTTTTCCCGGCATCGAGCTAAAGAGTCATCGTGAGGTAAATGCATCGCCAGCCTAATCATCTTTTTTTTCTTCTTTTGACTAGAGACGACGAACGAAAAAGGGGACGAACACAAAACGTTTCTAACGCAGCTGTTCTTTCAATGGAGGCGTTTTGTTCTTGACCCCTTTTTTCGTCCGTCGTCTCCGGTTTTTCAAAAATGCGTAACATAAATCAGCTCGCCTGTCGACTCACTTTACCATCAATTACCCTGATCGTCACCATTCAAAACAACTGGATTTTGTTTTTCTAAACAGAAATATATTAAGTTTTTGATTTCATCACGTCTTCCGTTTTCGTCACCGTCGTTACAAAAAAAAATTACTATTAAAATGTTCGTTACATAAACAGCCGCGAGATCACTGTAGTTAGCACGCCTTATGCGCAAGTGTGCACTGCCACTGTCAGCTTAAGAGCGCAGAGCGTGGCTTATTTTCTTCGTGTCTGTGCTTCGTTTTTCGGTGTTCGTATCAGCTAATACATCAACCTAATTGGCTATAATCCCCCTGCTATAGACCAACGTACTGCTCATAGACAAGCCCGCGTTTGCCCACACCGGGTGTGGGCACCGCGCGTGCGCTGAAACCAGATTCGCTTGAAGAGACTCGTCTGCGCATGCGTGACGTCAGAGAGTTGAGTTGGTCTATAACGCCCTCGGGCACACTGTGATTTGACGTGTCTACTACCAGTTTATGTTATTAGCATTCATACTCGTCGCTCTATCGAAGCAAACGAAGCTCATTCCACATGACGTTCATTGTTCAAAGGTTAACTCGATGGACCGAGTATGTGGCGAGCAACCGACGAACTTGGCCCGACTGCCCGTTTGCTTTGAGCGCGGCGTAGGAGCCACGAATTCTTATGACGCCATGAGCACAGCGAATACTGCGGGGGTGAAAATCGTAGCTTTCTTTTCTTTCGCTCCGGGGATCCGGGCCTTTTAACCCTATGTTAATTCGCAGGCTGTCTTCGACTTTCACATGGAGGAGAAACTGCCCTGGAGTGTCCTGTTCGCCAAAATTGAAGAGCTGGAGCTGTTGTTCTCGTTCGAGCACGTCTTGGTTTCCGAATGCACACTGGAACAGATCTTCATCGGCTTTGCGCGAGAGCAAGATAAAAGGGAACTAGAACGCGACAATGCCATCGGTGCACGGCCAACGAGGTAGAAGGCCAAGAATAAATAGAGATATATTGGTTTATCTATTTTGACGGGGTATCATCGTTACCAAGGCTAACGTAGTTTGAACAAACTTTCTTAGATGTATCGGTTGACGAGCACCATGGAAGGGATTCGTTCGAGAACTGTTCTTTGTTGGGCACTGCTCCCACGGGCAGCGGAATAGGATTGTTTTTGAACGACGCTTTTTTTGTGCAAATTTTGTTTAGCGCAGGCCATATGCATCCAACTGTTCACCTCTTCTAACTATTATGTCGATTGGGAGGGCTGGTAAGGCTGAAATAAAGGCCCTTAACGTGTTTCCGTTTGTCTTTCAAGTAGCTTCAAATGCGACAGTGCATCAGATCCGTGTTTCGAACGGCTCTTGGAATTTCTCAAGTGATGATAAGTGCCGTCACGGCGCTCAGTCGCCACGAACGCGAGTTCAAATATTCGTCGACGGTTTGATTGTTGACGAGCGCATACGTCCGGGTGACGCAGTGCTCGTGTCCGATGCGTGGACTTGGGTCGGCTGACGTGCTTGAGGACCGCGAATGCATCGCAGTGAAAAAGGGGAGTACTTTCGAAGGAAAGAAGGGGTAGGGTGTTGATATGTTATGTAGACGTGGTTCCTCCTCGATGGTGTGGAGGAGGATAGCTTGCGTTGGACGGTGGTTTTGGTGTAACAGTTCGGGCCAGACATCTGTTTACGCAGGTACTTCTTTGCAACAGAATAAAGGACAATTTAGCATACGAGATAAAGGAATACAAACGTCGACAACCCGAGCCCAGGGGTGCTATGTTGCGCTTCTTGGACTCCCAGGAGACTAGAGAGAATGAAGTGACGTCAACAACGCAGCAAATGGAGATTGGATGTTGAATTTGTTTTCTTCTGTCAACATCCAATCTGCGTTTGCTGTATCGTTGACGTCACTTCCTTCTCCCTAGTCTCCTGGGAGTCCAAAAAGCGCAACATAGCACCCCTGGACTTGTACGCCGTTAGAGCGCGGCTCCTTTCTTTCTAGCGGTACCGAACCGAAGACCACCTCCCTTTGTCTCGTCTGTGCTCTTATCGAGAGCAGCCTGTCCCTCTTTCCCATTTTCCCGTGAGGGCCAACATTCTCATCCGGCGCTCCGAGCCCAGGGCCAGACGGCGCCGGGCATAGGAGGCGCAGACGAGTCTGGTCCTCAGACACGACAAATCACCCCTGGCACTCCGAACACCAGCTGAAGGGACAGGTGCCGACAGACGAAGCACAACGCCCAAGACACTTCTAGGAGAGCGACCGACACTTGTCAATGGGAAGCGACAAACGACTCTTTGAGCAAACACAACCCCAAGTGGTGGCACTGGTCGACTACCGCGGAGCCTCCCCAGCTGCAGACAGCCGAGCGGGGCGCGGACACCCGCACCGCAAAGGGGGGCTCGCCGCCCCGCGCACAAAGTTCTCCCACCCAGAGGTCGTAAACATCCCCTAGTGAACCCCACACGTCTCCCCCAAAATCGTTCGGGCAGGGCCTCTACGCAAAGCAACAAAAGAAAAGGTTCCGGAACCTTACAGGAGGTACGAAATAATTCGCCATATTTTCAAATTTTTGTACCGAAAAGCAAGCTTTAAACGTTCTACGCTCACGCACCAGTTTTATGCTGGCGCACTAAACGATATGCGATTAGTAAAATTCCAAAGTATCCCGGCCGAAAATTACTTTCGTGCTCGCTTGAAAGGGGCGATGCAACAGCTTTTGTATCTTGCGCAAATATCGCTTAGTACGAATGTGACGTTAATGACCGATAAAACACGCGTTCGTTCCTCACCACACGCAATATAAGTCGCAAAACAAATTAGAGAAAAATAAAATCATGAGCCATTCCGCTTTGTGAAGGTGAATGACCGGCGAAGCTGTTTAGCCCTTGACACAGACGTGACACAAAAGTTTGAACAAAGGTACGAACACATTTATTGTCTTGATTGGTGGACGTCGTGACGAAAGGTGCACACACACATTTATTGTTGTCTTCATCGGTGGTCATTATTTCGCGTGGCCGAGTATCTGATGAAACATCAGAGAGCACTTCTCAGGCACACATGTTTCTGATGTCAGCTTCATCGAGCGTGATCAGTAAGCAAAAGCCCTTGCACTGAAACTGCTCCTCTCAAAAGCGCTGCAGGTTGTGACTATGGATCCGCCTTCTGATCTCCTTTCTGTGAAAGAAAGTACAGCAGCACTCAGGTAGATGCGTCAGAACGTTCAAGAAGAGTTCCGAAGCATCCAGTGATAAAGCCACAAAAGCGGCGGACATTCTTGACATAGAAATGCAACTGCCGTGACGACGGGGTATACATGAGTGCCTCAACCGACCCAGAGACGTCCTACCGTATTCACATATGCGTGGCTTTCCTGGAACACCTGGACAACCAGCCGCCATTCTCTACTCGAACCAAGACGTGACTGTCGAGGTTGATTAGGTGATTTGCCAGTTTTTACTATCATCATTACGTCGCCTCTACTTTCTCTTGTGAATTCGCTTCGGAAAGGCTGGCGTTCGGAACAGATTAATTCACTTTATCAAAGGTTGTTTATACTGTAACATATAGCGCCATTTGTTAAGAAAAGTACTTTGTTTTTCACAGTGGCACCATTGTTTTCACGAGAAATAAGCGCCGATGTCTGGAGGTGTCGTATGTTTTAATTGTGTATCGTAAAATTCGCCCTTATTGCCGTGTTTACTACTAAGTGTGGTGACTTCTGTTAACGGAAGTAAGAAATGAATAAAACATTAAAATGACATTCCTGTTATGAATACCTTGGTGCAACGCTTGGTGTATCTTTCTTATCTAACGTTCTAGAAAAAAAGTAGGAAATTGTTATTATAATTATTACAATTGTTTTAGAAAAAACAAACTAAACAAAATAAATAAAAACATTACGGTTGCTTGCGGTGGCAGGGGGGGGGGGGGATTTCTCTAAGCATACAACCAGTGGCGTCACTAGGGTCAGCGACACCTGGGGCGGTGGCCCGCAACGACACCCCCCCCTTCCCCTCTTAACCACATCCCGGCTCGCCTGTCACTGCCGGCCTCCACCGAAACACCCCCCCCCCCCCCCGCCCCCCTTCTCGTGGCCCTCCGCGACACCCCCCTGAGCTCTGCACCCAGGGCGCCGCGTGCTAACGACGCGGTTTTTGCTTCGCCGGAGCACACCTGTGTTGCGCGGAGAAGGCACGCTCAAAGGGGCACTGACACCCGCCAACATTTTTTTTTTATTTTTTTGCCAGGCGATTAGTTATGGTGTCAGAAGATTACCCAATCGATATTTTGCTACAGCGTCACGTATATTTTTAATAAAGTAAAAAGAAACGCAACTGCCCGAAACAAGCCGAAACTGGACTGGGAAGGAAGAAGAAATATAGAGGAGGAAAGAGGCGGCGGAAGTCACGTGGCTGGGATACTTTTTTCCCTCACCAACGTATTTGCAGCTTTTTAAAAGCCCTAAAAATGGGTATCATATTTCTTTTTTTTATTTTTAATATTGTGTGATTGCCTTCGATGACCTACGACTTTAGTTATATTTGGTGGTTGTGTCTAAACGGCTAGAAAACGGCCCGTGACCATGGCGAAGAGAGTGAGCGCGACTCATACCGGCCATTTCTCGATCTGCGGTTTTTGGGCAGAAAGATACCGAATTTCGAGCAACAAATTCTCTTCTGGCTAGTTGGACTCTCATATGTCACGTACAAGTAAAAACCTCGGCGAGCATAAATACCTTGTCAGTGTCCCTTCAAAAAACCCCTAAAAAAAAAAGAAAAAAAAAATATATATAGAGAGAGTAATATTGACGGCGCGAGACGCGATTTAGTCGGTAGTCGCCTCCTTTCCGCTTGTTTTCTTTCTCGTCATTTCGGGCGCATAGAGGAGAGGTGGATCGGCTTCTCCTTCACGTTGTGGTCGAAAGAGCGGATTACCATACCGTGACGTAATGGACTTTGAGCACAGAATTTCAAATAAATCTCTGGCTGTCAATATTGCTCTAATTCGTTTTTTCGCGTGAGATTTATTTTTCGACACGCGTGTCCCAATTGTGCTGTTAAAAAAAAAAACAAAAAAAAAACATTTTTTTTCTTTTTAGGGGTCCTTTAATGGAGTAAGTAAGTCCGTGGAATAGAATTCGGGTTGTGTGTTTTCGGACAACGCCTAGTGTCCACCACCCAGTTTGCTGCTCACGTTGAGCACCTTACCTTGTACAACTTGGAATACATTTTAGCGCTCAAAAACAAGGACAAAAAGACGAGAATCAGACACCACAGTGCGCTTTTGTCCTTGTTTTTGCGCGCTAAAATGTATTCCCAGTTCCAAAACCAACTAGCCCAACAATCTACTCTACCCTGTACAAGTCACGCTTTTCCGACTATATACTCGATCTTTTTTACAGCACTTACGGCGCGAAAATAAATTAGTGTTTCAAACATGTTTTATCCAAGCTAGACTGTATACTAGAAAGGACTAGTGAGGCAATCGAAGTGCTATTTTTGCACCTTGGCATGTGGAAAAAAAAACGGCTAATCCGAACCACTTGGCTTGTATAGCGCCCTCTCGTGCGCTATGAGCAAAGTGGTTCGAATTAGCCGTTTTTTTTGTGGAAAAAGTGTAGCGTTCCAACCCCACGCTCGACCGACACACTGGTCAACGACCCGCACACTGGTTAACGCCGGGCTATCTATATTTTTATATAACCTAGACGTTAGGCGTCATGTCAATGCATAATGCCATCGCGACCTGACTTGTCTGCACAACGCCAGGTGCCATCACGACGACGTCTTGACTTCAACGTCGTCATCGACGTTGACAGCGCGCGTTGCATGACATTAAGACTGCGTTTTGACGTCATATTGCGTTGACAACAGCGTCGATGTCAACGTTGACGTTGACGACGACGACGTCAAGATGACGGCGTCGTTGTCAGTGCGACGTCATAAAGACACTTGGTGTCAGGTTGTCGACGTCGTTGTCG